CTTAACATTTTCTCTTCAAAATCTCGGTCAGCCAAAAAATTAATCGGCCGAAAAGCAATGATAAAAACGATAAAGATGGGGATGTTGTGTTATCACAATTCATTTTGTACGAAATTTGAAATAAATAATTGAATTCAAAGGGAGGTAAAAATGTTAAAACAGAATTAAAGATTTCGAGTTATTTCCCTTGACAGGGGAGGTAATTACATATGTAAAATTTAAGAAAAAGTAAGAGTTACTTCCCCATTAATTTTTTTTTTTTTTAAATGAGGTGACAACGTCAAATAATTTGTTTAACCAAATATAAAATTTTGATTTTCATATTGACCGATTCGGATTACATAGAAATTCGAATTCAGAGAGAAAAATTTTCAGACATATTTGATTATAATTTTTAATAACTTACCTAAAGAAATTCACTAAAATACACAATGAAAAAAATGACCCAAACTTAATAAAAACAGTTTCGTCGTCTAAAACTTTATGCCATTAAAGTGTAAAAAGCCAAAGGATTTTTTTAATTATTAAAGTTTTTATCCTTTTCACAACGTTTAAAATTTTTGATAATTTTTTTTTCTTGCGTTTGCGGTGGTCAGAGTGGAGGACACAAATAATATACAGGAAATTTTAGCATCTTATTGCAGTGAAAAACATATTTATTTGAAAATTCTTGAAGAAATAAAATAATTGCCGGTGTTAATAATATTGTCAGGGCTTATTCATAAATAAATGTAATTATTTTAGAAAGGATGCAAACAAAGAGGAGACTTATACTTAACGTCAGGAAAGAGGCAGCGAATGTTGTACGATTTCCTCAAAGATGAAGAAGAGACTAGAGTCGACATAGATGTGGTCCTGCAGAAAGATGCTAAGGATATCATGGACCGAGCGTGTGAGCAACGATGAGGTCTTAGAGAGGATGCAAACAAGGAGGAGGCTTATACTTAACATCAGAAAAAGACAGCGAATTTTTTTTTTTTCTTTTTTTAGAAAATATTGTTTAAAAACATTTTTTTTTACATTTGTTACCCACCATCGTTTATTTAATTTTATGAAATTTCGAGAAATTAATTTTTGTATCTCTTAGTATTTATCTTCGTTATACGCAAACCAGGCTCGGAGAATTGAAATCATCAATAGAATTTTGTAAAACAGGGACACTAGTTACCGAAAATCTGTTCTTGGCTCATAAAATAAAATAAAAATAAGATATTATTTAATTAGAAAACTTTTAATTGCTTTTATGAATAAGATACATTATAAACATTATTGTCTTAAGAAAAAGTTTCATACGACGAATAATTAATTTTTACAAGAATTGTTTTCATTTTTTTTAAATTTTAGAATAATTTATAAAGTTTTAAATCTTTTAAATTTCTGTATTACTTTGTACAAATTAGGTGATATTGGTATTAAGTAAAAACTATATTTATTAATCATGGGTTGTAAAGCTTACGACAATTAAACATCCTCTCACAGAGAGAGAGAGAGAGAGAGAGAGAGAGAGAGAGAGAGAGTTTTCTACCGAAATCATATAGTCTTACATTAAAATAATTACCATAATTCTTTTGTGTTTCTGGAGAAGCCATATTTACGATTCCAGATTCTTTCTTCATCTCCATTTGTTAATTTTTATAACAATGTTTTTAACCGACGTATTCTTCTTTGGCTGTTAAAGTAGGAGGAATACTTTGAAGTTGTTTTCAGATTCACACATGAAGTCTTTTCATTATTACACAGTTTTTTATTTTGATTTCTTTCTTCATCTTTATTTGTTGATTTTTATCTCAACATTATTAAACGACCTATTCCTCTTCGGCTGTTATGGAGTACTTTGGGTGTACAGTGATAAAGATATTTAGTGGGAGTTTTGCTCTTTTATTTCATACATCTATTGGGTGAGCGAAGGAAAAAAGATTTATTCTCACGTTAGTAATTCCCCCATTAATGGCATTATTATATCCATCATATAATAACACCTTATTTCACGGACGGAATGGAATGGCCGAAAGAAAAGGAATGACAATCATTTTTTCTTCTCAGATATATATATATATATATATATATATATATATATATAATAATAAATAGATACAGAGATATAGATAGATAGAGTGCTTTATACCACTAAGTGATATACACAATTATATATGTACCTATTTACATTTGTCCCACGCAGAGAAAATATAACGCATATCAACGTAAAGATTAGTGTGAGAAAGAAACGAAATCATATGGTCTTACTTTGAAATAATTACTATAATTCTTCTGTGTTTCTGGAGAAGCCATATTTACAATTCCAGATTCGAACGGACCGGGATAGGCAGATTTTGATACGCTCGTGCTAAAAAAAAACTAACTGCTCGGTTTGACTCCTGGAAATTGACTGAATACTTTCCTTCATTCTATGAAGTAACGTCACTAAGCGGCCATTACGTGGTCCACGTGACTCCATCTCGACGAAAGGGAGATAATCGTCTTTTCTATGCCTACAAAAGGTTCTTTGTTAACCCCATCTAGTGGGCGTGAGGATAATGTCCCCTTGGAGACAAGCGGAATAACTATACGCACGTTAATATATCTGTGGATTTATACGACGATTTTCTTTTTGTAAAGATTCCATAGATCGAATCATAATAATGCATTCGCGTTTTGAAATATCTGCCAATTGATGGCAGGATCTTGTGGCTTTCTCCATTCGCTCTCGATATTCTCTTCGTCATTTTTGTTGTTGTTTACATCGAATAATCATCATAGATATAATATTTTATATATAATAATTTGTCTAGCTTTCCATGTTAAAGCATTACCATTATTCTTGATGGACTTGTGCGAATCTATTACGCTCAAACATACATACATACAAAAATACAAATCACATACAACGCCAAGCATTCATTGGTTAATTTAATCACCTCTACGTTATTATAGACAATTTACAAATCGCAGCAATGCGACAATTTTGTAATCGCTCTTTTTTTATGTAGTCAGTTTTGTGCACTTTTTGGAGAAACGGATCACAGAAGCTTTCTTAAGTCTCCTCAAAGCTCGCTCGCTGATTGGTCGATGCCAACCAATCAGATCGTCTGCACGTGAAGGATAATTCTTTCTGCACAGCGATTTGGAGCTTATAGTCGCTTATTTAAGCCAAGATATTTTTCATCTCATGAGAGAGAATTTAACTGCCAAACGAATCCACGACAGTTGAAATAATGCGCCAACTTTCTCACTCACACACACCACACACACATGCTGAACATACCTTGTACACACTCACATAAACTTTTCTTACACAGCAATATCTTTCCAGAACAATCATTACAAGAGACACTCATGAACATTCTTCCTGTGAACTTTGGAACACTAAAATAACCGTTAAAGAGAGACAACTCTTGTTTATTTCAACCTTTTCTTACTTAAATGCATGTTTTCTTTCACATCGTTGTTTGATATTGTACGTCTTGTTAAATACATATTTTATGTGTAACAGTATCTTTTGGTTATCCTTTTCCACGTGAGTCCTGTTACCTAATCTAAAGTTAAATTAATATGGTGAAGATATGCAATTTCAAGGATCATCAGAAAATACAAAAATACCGAAGAATTATATATCGGTCTAAACGTTGCCCTAAAATCAGCAAAGATGGAAGCAAGCATTCGTAAAACTGAGTGAAATAATTCTCTCTGAGAATAATTCTTGGAATGAAAGAAGTTCTCTGAATTTCGTTAAATACTAATATTTTGTTTTCAGTTCGTTTAAAAAATTATGAATAAAATAATTTTATTATATGGTAAATAATAAATATTGTGTAGCATCCTGCTACCACTTTCTTATCAATGTTGAATTTTGTATATTTTTGATGCAAAAAGGTGGATCAGAGAGCCTGCTCAGCTCAGTAAATATTTTCAGGAAAAATCAGCTTCTGATTGGTATAGCGAAGAAAACGGCGACTTACCTCGTCAAACCAAGCGACAGCGCGTCACGTGTATTCTACGACGGAAAATGTGGCGAAAAAGAAAAATTACTTACCAAACAAAAGGGCACGTATTCCGCATGACATGCTGAAAATGGAATATTTGAATATTTGATTTCGTAACGTCGAGTGAGAATCGAGCGGATAAGCTCACCAGAGTACCGCAACGATGGTATGATGTGATCAAGAAGGAAATCGAACCAACACGCCCGATATGCGCTTCCATGGTGAACGAAACCTCCCCTGATCAGATACGTGCCATACATTGCCAGAGTGGACATCCTGGCGTCAGGCAGACGCTATATTTTGTAAGACGAGTCTACCCTACGACATCCAAGGCGGTCGTCAAGGTAGTGGTCAGAAAATGTAAAGAATTCCAGTCAATTGACCCAGCATCAAGTCGTTGGCCTCGTGACAATCTAAGTGTGACTGAAATCTGGACCCGCTTACGAATGGACATTACACATTACGGTGGGCAACATTACCTTACGTTAATTGATTGCGGTCCTAGTAGATTTGCGTTATGGCGACGCCTGCTTCAACAAGACTCATGCGTTCGGCAGTTAGAAGTATTGTTTTTGAACGAGGCCCACCATCAGAAATCCTGACCGACAATGACACTGCATTTCGCAGTAAGTCCTTTAAAGATTTCTTGGATGACTGGGGAGTCCAACTTCGTTTTCGCTGCGCCTATGTTCCTGCAGGAAACGGTAGAGTTGAAAGATCTCATCGGAGCATAAACCGAATTGCAGCAAGAAAGCAGTGTTCGATAACGGAGGCAGTATACTGGCATAATATCACGCCGAAGGATGATATATCGTTGACTAATGCGCCTGCCAATATGATTCAACATTACCAAGTGAAAGTGAAGGGAATTACTACAACATTACCACCTGATCATTGTAAGTATCACGATATATACAAAGTTGGGAACAGAGTATGGGTGAAAGCTCCCCATGGCCGGTGTACCTCCAGGTATCAAGTGCGTCGCGTGATGGACATTGTAAGTCCACAATAGTTGACGGGATGCCACAGCATGTAAAAGATCTTCGCCTTTTCGTTGATTCTGATGCATCGCCGAGCGAATCCGATGATGATTCATCGTCTGACATTGAGAGGATAATTGAGATCTGCGAATCCGATGCTTCCAGAGACACAGAACTTTCGGAAACTCGAGATACGTCTGATGACTCTTCCGGAGACGACTCTCCGACACGTGTAAGGGAAATAGTGCCATTACGACGAAGCACCAGGATAAAGAGACCTGCTCCAGGCTGTTCGATTTGTGATAGTGAGATCGGGGGGGGGGGGGATGGTATAGCGAAGATTTGATTGGTCTGCGAAATTGAACGAAACGTAAAGTTTTTAAACCTCGACAAAAATGTTAGCGATAACTTCAACAATACTAAATATTTTGAGCATTTCAACGTAGCCTCAGCGTATTTTTCAATACGCTGAGGCTACGTTGAAATGCTCAAAATATTTAAAAAAAGAAAATTCTAGTACTAAATAAAATTTGCTTAGCCACAGATTTAATTAATAAGAACTAAGTTCCAATTTTACAGCTTCTTCACGAGAAGTGCTGCTTTGTAGAACAGACACCCAGTGAGATGTTTTCCCGATCATTACAATATTGATCTCTTAAAGTCGAGGGATAGCAGTTATTTTTCTTGCATATTCTAATAGACTGCATTTTTTGTCTTTTCTTATGCTTACACAACGCCACAGCATCTACTTTGAGTGGGTCTTGTAAAGGGTGAAATTTAGTAAAAAGAAAAATGAATCAAAATTTTACTGTATAATTTTTGAGTTTCAAGGGAGATTATTCATTGAAAAGAATTAAGAGTTACTTTTCTTAAAATGTTGAAATTTGTTTTCAGAAAGAAATATTTACGCATGGCTAGTTGTATGTTGCATGCTTGAGAGTAAGAAATCCTAAGAATTTATAATTAGCTGTTAAAAAAGAAAAAAAGAAAATTTCCTAAAAACTATTGTTTACCATGAAGTCTTATGAAATTAAATTAAATTAAAAAAATATTAAACCGCAAAATAGGATTTTGTCAAAATATTTTCCAACTTATTCGAATTTCATCGATTGGTTTGTGAAACTTTTTCACTGTTTTTATATAGATATTTTCATGGTAATTGTTTTGACAAGCCTTCCTCTTTAATACGCCAGTGTTACGAATTCAAATGTAGTACTAGATTAGCAGTTAGGTCTCATTGTTTCACTGTTGAAATAGCTAAATGCAAGTTATGTTCTGATAGTTTCGTCTTTCGCTTGTGGAACTCTCTTCCAGCTTCTGGCTTTTCTCTCAAGTACGGTCTTCAAAAATTCAACATCAAACGTTTTCTTCTGACTCTTTGAATTCTGCTCGTTTAATTTTCTCTCTACCTCTCTTGAAGGTTTTCTCTGATCCTTCATTTCTCAGTAGTAATCGATGCGTCTTAGTGGCTTTATCGTCTTGATTGGGGGTAAAATTGTTAAAAGAAAACCTGAAAGAGGCTTTAAAAAAATCAACAGCAACAAAAAATGAGAAAAATAAACAACATTTTTCACTATTTCGATTGTTCATACTGTTGTCCTCATCTTTATCGCCACATTCACGACGTTTCGGCCGTTTTACGCTCCGGCCTTCTTCAGGTGATTGGAATTTCGATCTGAACCCTTTATTTCGTCCACCGGGGTAGATTGTTCTAGTTCCACGTGCCAAGCCTCTCCTGGATGCCTCAGTTATCTCTCTTTAAATCAGATCTCCATGTTTTTGTTTCCCACTGCACACATGGCCCAGTGGATACTTGAACCAAAGATTTGCGAGTTCAATACCTGCCTACGGCAGTGGTGAACAAAAACTTGGTGGACTGAGTTAAAGGGTGATAACTAAGACAACTGGAAGAGACATGGCACGTGGAACTAGAACAATCTAACTCAGTGGACGAAATAAAGAGTTCAGTTCAAAATTCCAATTACCTGACGAAGGCCGGAGCGTACACTATGATGATAAAGATGAGGACAACAGTCCGAACAATGTAAAAAATTACAACATCTCATCTCAGAAATATAGACAGGTCCTGAAGAAGTCCGCAGCGTACAACGGTCGAGACGCCGTGAATATGGCGAGAAAGATGAGGACAACAGTCCGAACAATGTAAACAATGTAAAAAATTACAACATCTCATCTCAGAAATATAGACAGGTCCTGAAGAAGTCCGCAGCGTACAACGGTCGAGACGTTGTGAATATGGCGAGAAAGATGAGGACAACAGTCCGAACAATGTAAAAAATTACAACACGTCATCTGAGAAATATAGACAAACACTTTTCTGGTATTAACGTAATTTATTCACAAATAGGTTTTAATTTTTGTACAAAACATCGTGATGATTTAATGAATGTTATTGTTAAAACAGAAATTTTTCAGCACATTCGCCATTTTTGTTTTTCTGTTTTCGACTTTTCTTTTTTTTCTTTCAACGAAAAAAAAATCCATTAAATTATGAAAAAAAAAATTCTTTTGGTGTTAATGAAACTTTATTGACAGAAGTTTCTTAATGTCTTTTTTTGCCGCATCTTCTTTTTTTTTTCCTACGTGTAGTAAGATTTTCTAATTATTAAGTTTTTTGCCTATCATCTATTACCTATATATATCTATATATATGTGTGTGTGTGTCTGCTCCTTTGTGTTTCAGTTTAAATAGATATATACGTATGCAAGTGAATGGGTATACATAAATATATATATATATATATATATATATATATATATATATATATATATATGTGTGTGTGTGTATGTGTGTGTGTGTGTGTGCATCTGTGTATTTATAAAAGTATGTATATATGTGTGTTTGTAATGTGTTTATTTTAACAGATATATCATTAATGAAACATATTTAAAAAAAAAACAAACATCAAAAATAATTTAAAATTAACAAGTATTATTAAATTCTGAAAAATTGAAAATACAAACAAAACAAATCTCTTAAATTATATATATATATATATATATATATATATATATATATATATATATATATATATATATATATATATGAATATATATATATTATATATATATAACTTTCAATGTGTGTAAATATATATATATATATATACATGCATTACATACATAAGTATATATATATATATACACACGGACACACACAGACAGTACACACACACACACATTTTTTATTCCAATAATACTTTTAGTTATAATTATATAACATCGCTTATAATCGTTTTCTATGTTTCGGAACTTAAAAAATGTTCTATCATCAGGCGATGTTGCATAAAGGATGATGGAACAATTTTTAAGTTCCGAAACATAGAAATTTTTGTGTAGCGATGTAAAATATTTTATATTTACGTTGTATCGAGCACTTTAAAAAAAAAGTAAATGCTAAGAACTGAGGATTCTTAATGTGTCTGTTTTTTCTCTTTAGTAGACACAGACACCCTTGCAGCTAAAGATAATTACATGATTTTGCATTATTTCTTTATTATTAATATATATTTATTTTCAATGGAATTATAGTTAGTCGATTAAATTCGATTTAAAATTTTTAAGTACTAAAAAAGAAACGCACACTCCCCCATACACATACACACACAATAATAAATATATAAAGCCAACACCCAGATGATGACACTGTGCTAATGTCGAAAGTACTCGGAATAAAATGAATATGAGTCAACATTTTAATTTTATTTATTTCTTTAATAAAGATACTAACAAACTTGTCCGTAATTATGAAAGGATTTTATTAAAAATAAGTAGGCAAAGCTTCTCTAAATTATTTCATAACCTGACGTTTATATCTTATATATATATATATATATATATATATATATATATATATATATATATGAATAAAGACAAAAGGAAAGCTTACGTACTTTATCAACGCAAATGAAAAAAAGTCCATTTAAGTTTGAAACGTCTCGGCTAAGATAAGTTTTCTTTTGTCCTTATTCATATTGTCCTTTTACACACACACACACACACATATATATATATATGACTAATGTTGACTCAATACAAGGCACAAGAGCCACTCAAGGTAGAGGGTTACAGTGTGGGGTTATATTAGCATATGAAAGGACAATCATTAGGAGTTCGGAGCCAAAGTACACATTTAGAAGGAGCCAGAAACCCAAACGTAAACTGGAAACACGGGATAAACCTGTATTTTTTATATATATATATATATATATATATAAATATATATATATATATATATATATATATATATAAAATATATGGATAGCGGATTTGGACTGAGGAATGGAGAGCCGAATTCGAATTCCAGTCTGCTCCATTACAATTATTTACGTGCTAATACTCTTGGGAAAGGTATGAATCCTCTTCTACTCCCTCCATCTACGGGTAAATAGAAGGACAGAGTGGGTTCTATAGCCGTGGATGGCAACTGGTCTAGGAGAAGGACAACTCTGTATTCAAAACCTGTGGAGGCTCGTTTGGGGACATTGTGGCATATAGTGCACCTTCAAAAAGCGCCGATGGTCCTGTACAAAACCTTCACCATTATAATCAAATCTCCCCAGTGCTGGTGTTGGGCTGTCGGTTCCTAGGAACTGATCTTCTTGACCCTCATTGTTCGAACTCGATATATATATATATATATATATATATATATATATATATATACATCGAGGTTAATTAATCCAGTTTTTATTTGACTAATTGCTCGTCTGTTTCAAAATTTAAATTTTGCGCATCTGTCAAAAAATCACTCAACCACGAAATTAAAAAAAAAAGAAATTCCTGTCAGTAGATTTGAAGAAGTTATCCCGTGTTTCAAGCGCCTGATTTTTTTATACATTCAAAAACAAAACACACACACACACACACACACACACACACACACACACACACACACACACACACACAGACAGACAGACACACACGCACATAAACACACACAGACACGCACACAGGCACACACACACACATGCACATACACACAGACACTCACACACACATGCACACACACGCACGCACACACATGCACATACACACATACAGACACACATACACATGCACATACACACACAGACACGCGCACGCACACACACACATGCACATACACAGACACGCACACACACCGAAACACGCACACACACACACACATGAACATACACACACACAGACACGCACACACACACTCACACACACACACAAAACACGGTAAAT